TCCCTATTTAGTTTGTTAGCCACCCTGAGTCCCCTCGGGGAATAGGGCGGCATACAAGTTTAATAAAACTATAAACTATAAACTAACTATAATTTAAAAGGTCAGGTAAACATGTAGAAAATGGCAACAAATTCTATTAGGATTGGTCTGGGGCTGGTATTTGAGCGTTAAAACCTGACTCACCAAACTCAGGTGTGTTGGAATATTTTAATCCCAGAAGCGAACCACCTTGCTCGGAAAAAGAGAATAACCTTGATTTTAATTGTCTTGCGTTTCTGTACTAAGGATGTCTATAGCAGCAGGGATTCTGTAAGGCATGGGGGTGTCAAACTCGTGGTGTCATGTTGCCGTCACGTGACCTATTGTGACATTCTCCCCTTCGCGGAGCTGGGATAGGTGTGGCCTGTGTGTGACGCATTTGGCCCCCAGGCCCCCAGTGTGACACCCCTGCTGTGAGGTATAATTGTAAAGGACAGGAGGTTGGGAAATACTTTACTGGAAATCCAAACAATGAATGATTCTGACATAATTCCTATTTCTAATCACCAAGAGTATTTCATCTGTTTTTTAAAAAAAATAAAAGTTTTCTACCCCAATCATGGCTTTTAATTATTTAGGAAATGTATGCCTAAGATAAAAACAACGTAAAAAAGAAGCTTGAGATAATAAGAAGATAATGAGAACCTGGATTCTCATTTTAGAACGTATTTTGATTTTAAGATGTAACAGTAGAAAGCCACAATGATCACTTGTCTTGTTATAAACCAGGGGTGGGCTGACTTCAGTCTTGTATAGTTTTTGCTTTTACATATAGCATTTGTGTAGATCATTAATATATTTCAATTTAAATAGCAAGAGTACAGTTTCAGGATATCTAGCGACTAAAAGTATAATTAGTTCACATTAATAGAATTTGAATTGGTACTCTTGCATAAAATCATAAATGCCTTGCTTTACCAAATAATGAGCTACTTAGTCCTGCAATCGATGTAAAACTTTAACCACTCAGTAGGTAAATAGGTAATAGAGAATCAATGCCCACCCATGGTTTTAACTTATGTAGTACAGCAAAGACTCAAGTTGATGTCCCTACTGTGCATGGATAGTGTTCAAACCAGGATCAAATCTGGATCATCATAGAGCACTCAAGATTATGTTCAATTTAATATTAATGCATGACACAGAAGCACATACAAACATACAGAGCCAAAGGGAAAACTAAGTCAAAAACAGCATGTTAGTTTAGACCAACATCAAAATGCTTGCCCTTCTTCACTATCCAATTAAACCTTCATATAACCATATTAGAGTTCATGATAGATGTATATTGTTGCTATTTTGGATCAATTATAAAAATAAAATACACCTGGCATAGGCAAGAGCACTTACAACATAAAAAGAGTAAACTAGAAAATTTTATTGGCACAGATTCATTTAGTCATTTTCCCCATTTGACAAATGTCATTAAAAAAAAGGTTAAGTGAGGAAAGAGACTCACAAAATAATAATGCAGACTAGACTGTGAGTGTATTTGCAAAAAAATAGTACAATTCAAGTAAAAATTGAGTTTCCAATACTCTCAAATGAGGTCATCTTATTATGAGAAAAAAATATGTGGCAAAACAAAATAAAACTCTGTTTTTAACCTCATATGCTTTGTCACCAGCAATATTTTTTAAAGATCTAAATGGCCTCTTATGTGCAACTAATACATTACTATTTAATTACATTTCTATTTAATTCCTTATCTTGAATTGCACTGATATAAAGATTTAAAATTAGACCAGTATCTTTGTGCATTTAGGGGAAATGGCAAGATGGTCCTTACGTATTGACCAGGGTCAAAATATTTATTTTAGGACATGAAAATGCTCCAAACAGTCATATTTATTCATTAAAAGTATGCCCTGTCTTCCCACTAGCATTTTCAAGGTCCTAGTAAAGTGACATTGGTAAACTTTGAGGAGTAACTTAAAACAAGTGGATAATCTGATACAAAGCTGAAAACGAATATCCCCATTTTGCAGCTTGTACAGTTGGCGGTATGGTTAGATCAGGAACCGTACATGAATTTTTTTTACCCCCTATCTTTCAGTTCTATGCGTCAGCAACATCAGGCAAAACAAGAAAAGCATGCTGTTCTTTTCCTTACTTAATATTTATTTTAATTGTAGTACAGGCAATTTATCACTGGAGGCAATCAAACATTTTGATAGATGCTGTCCAATTCACAAGGTATATACAATTGATGGCTGGTTTGAACACTGAATTCCGCACTGAAATGATTTCTCAGAGCTAACAGAAGTTTTTAAGCAAGCAATGCACCTGCAATTCAGGTCAGAAATAAATGTCTCATTTGGCCTGTTCCCCTGAAATGTTTCACAAACACATGTAACACAGCAATACTTTTTTTTTAAAAAGAAAAGAAATGAATGATGGAAAATTCACTTCAAACTATAGGATTAACATCCTGCTCCATCACACAGTGCACAACTACTTTAAAATATTATAAAACAGAGTATAATATTAAAATGTACTTTTAAGAATCTAAATATGTTAGATCAGATAAATTGCTATTTTCCCTGGCAGTATTGTTAACGTAACTGGTACCCTCTGTAAAAATGGATGTACGGTGAAGCCCCTTCAGAATCCACATCCACTTGACTGTGAGGCTTCCCCTCTGTCTCACATCCAGGCTCTTGAGAAAAGAGGAATTAAATGGTGATAGGCACATGGAAGCCAGCATTTCTGCAGGGAGCAGAATTAGTAATATCTAAAATATATTTAATGAACACTTACCTCAAACATTCTGGCAGCCGTACATCGAACAAGTGCTGAAGTGTGGACAACTCCATACCATAATACAGTTAGCAGCAATTCATGGTATGCTGGGTTCGCACTGAGAACACAAAAACAATCAGATCTAAGCTACAGATAGCCATTTGCTTTCAAACGGCGTTTATTTTGCATTTTCTTTCTCTCCTCAAATATTTTCTCAAATTTTCTTTCTCAGCTAACCTCAATTAGCCTCAACAAAAGGAAAGTGCCGGCAGTTCAACCACATTTATCCCCAAAAGTGTATTTTTAGAGTGGGAGGAGCTCTTTAGAGCAGTGGTTCCCAAACCTGGCAACTTTAAGACTTGTGGACTTCAATTCCCAGAATTCTCCAGCCAGCAGAGCTGAGCTGGCTGGAGAATTCTGGGAGTTGAAGTCCACAAGTCTTAAAGTTGCCAAGTTTGGGAACCACTGCTTTAGAGCAACCATTGAACTATCCCAAATGTTGCCATTTACAGATAGTCCTTGATTTACAACTGTTCACTTGTGACAGTTAGAAGTTACAATGGCCCTAAAAAAAGACTTATGACCATTTTTCATACTTATGACTGTTGC